TGTTCTAATCTACAATTTCTTAATTTTTTTGTGAATTTTTCCCCTTAAATTTGATCCTATGCATGCTAATTTTGATTATCTAGTTTGTGGTTGAAGTATGTTTAATTAAAATGCTAAATGTGTTCCATGTGTTATTGAAATTCATATATATGACTAGATTTATTACGGTGATTGAGCATGTTTGGTGTTGACATATTGTATGTCCTAAGATTATGTATTTTTTATTTATTTATTGCTTTGAAAGAAAATGATGCTATGGTCAATAAATAAATAAAAGAAATGATTGCTTAGAAATTTCTATTAAATTGTGATAATGATGTAAATGAAACGTGTGAGAGCCTATGGTTGAATTGATAAATCAAAACATGCACATTCATGCATTCATTGGGAAAGAGAAAGGAATATATATATATATATATATATATATATATATATATATATATATTGAACAAACCAAATTATTTTGGGGAATATTTTTTTTTAAAAAGAGTTTGCGAAAACCGGACGCCTAGGAGGCGCCTAGTGGTCCGTGGTGTTAGTTTAGTCTAGAAGGGATCATGGTTGAGCTAACTAGGCCGGATGCGACGCCTTGGAGGTGCCTTGTGGTCGTGGATAGTTAGTCAACCCTCCATTCGTGATGCCTTGGAGGTGCCTTGGGTCGGATTACACTAACGGTTTTGGAAGTTGAAACGGAAATGTTTCGGAAAATGGGAAGTAACATTTGCATATTGCACTTCATGACATTGTGGTAAACTTGTGATTGGGTGGTATTTGTTACATACTTGTTATTGTATTTGAGAGTGTGTGTTTCCTTATAGCATGATCCCTTTCACTTTTTATCTATTCATTGTATGGATTCACGGGGATATAAGATGTGTGTCTTAGACACTTCCTACTGAGTTTATGCTCACCCCATTATTTCTAACATTTTTCAGGACATGGAAAAGAGGTGGCAGACGATGATCCACCACGATTTTAGACGAGCACGGAGACCTATTTTATTTTTTTTTTTTTTGCTATCTTTTGTATTAAAACTCTCTAATATTTTGTAAATGTAATATAAACTAACTCGTAAAACTTTAGTTTAATTAGTATAATGTTGTAAGCCATGGACTTTTAAATTCTAACTACGCTTTTTGGACTGTAACTTGATGTAACCATCGTATGTTCCTTGTTGGATGAGATGGAGGAATGGGATTTTGTATGTATGTAGTCACTTTGGAGATATGATATAATATATGTATATTGCGTTGGGACAGGATATGTTAGATTTAAGGCCCAGTGAGGCCATTGTAATTATTTTTTTGTATTTTAACAGGTTGTTTAGAGACATTTTCTGCGGAGGTCATGCCGAAATTTTTTATAGATTCTTATTATTATTTTGGTATCCCATTTGGGTCGTTACAGGTACTAATTGAGGAGATCAATGGAAAGATATAGAAAGAAGAAAAAATATCACCAGGTTTTTATCAATTTATAGAAAGCATATACTGGGTACCTAAAAGTATGATGGGGAAGTTTTAGAAAAGAAATGAGTAATAAAGAAATTTATATTGATGCATAAAGGATGTGTATGATGCGAGTTTGACTGCGGATGATTGTTGAGAAGTCCTCTCCACTAATTTTTTCTCCCCAATCTCTCTAAAGCTTAAATCTGATGGTTATAAATAAAGACACCACATTATCATCTTTGTTTGGATTAAAATTTGTGGGAAGCCAAACATGATGGGTAGTTACACCAATGATGATGTGGCATGATTTTGATCATTGGATGGAGGCTTGGAGAGATTGGAGAGAAAAAAAAATACTTGGAGAGGATCCAAATTCGTGAATTATTAGTTACTATAGGCTTACATCAAGGTTTGATGTGGTTGAAACCACTCGAGGTCAATTTTACAAGAAGTGTATTTCACTAAGGTGACAACAGTAATGAGGAAATAAAACAGACAAGATGTCAATAATAATTCAGAACCCAGTAATCTGGAACGCAGTTCTTCAGATTTTGACCAAGTCCTCCTTCAGAAAGGTTCTTTGTCTCTATAACCCGGTGTTTCAAATTTTGAGAAAAAGAAATAAGTTATCTTTGAAGTTGGGTATAATATTTAGGTCGTTTTTACAAAGGATGGAGTTGCAACCGGTCTTGTAGAAGTTGAGGGACAGGAGTGGTTCATGTGATGTTGTTAAGAGAAGAATGACGATATGCCTACTAGTTGAAGTTACCCAGTCATGTAGCTAAACATCAAACATTTGGTTCCATACAACTCGAGGGCAAGTTCTTCCCAGCCCGGGGGGACTCATGTAGTCATAGAGCAAGAGGATAAACTATTGTACCTTTGAGAGAACCTAAGAAGGCTAGGAAGGAGAGACGGGCCAAATGAATTAATTTTTTAATATTTTGCATTCAAATGTATGATTTTTAGAACATTTCATATTCAACAATTTCTTGATCTTTTTAATTTCCTCATTTTTATTAACTTTCCTTTATGGTAATGAAGCCAATTATGGCTAAGAATGCATAATAGACCCTATAAATTTGGTGGTTAAGGTTTTGAAGTGTGGGTCATGATTTCAATTTCAATAGAATTACAGCAACCATGCTATGTAGGATGGATTGTTCGTCCTCTCTTGGTAAGGCAGCATCAGGAGCTATGGACCTTACGGTCAAAACGACGGTATGTGCATAGCCACACTTACACTGTGATGGTTTGTGTGTACAGCCACACAACTGCTCATTTGTTGCATGAGGTTGCCTCTTGTTAGGGAGAAAGTATTTGGTATCCGGGGTTATCATCTATGTAGTACTCCCGATCAAATGGTAAGTAACTATTTTTTATCATCCGGAAAAATAGTTAGTATTCATTGGCCGGGCCCGGGGTATTTTATAGTCAGTATCCAGGTACCCAATATTTTTCCCTTATTAGGGAGATTACTAGGTGTCTCATTTTGTGGCTTACATTTTGAGTTCAAGGAGAATGAACACCTTCCTTTTAGACCTTCCAATTACAAAATCAGATCTCATGAAGATTTCTCTTCCTCATATACTCCACAGTATCACTGAGAAAAGCATCTAAAGAGATTTTCATTTGATTTGTACAATGAGCTATCCTAGTGACACAAGTCAATAAACCACCACCACCCTTCTTTTGCAAAAACACGTCCGGAAAACATGGTCTTTAGTGTACCCTACACCATGACAATTATGGAAAATAGAAGTAAGGCTATTCCCCTCCTTTCCGGGTTGTAAAAAGAAGGAATGACGTTATAAATGAGCAAGGGAGCATCGATTGACACTCTAGGCCTGCAGCAGTTCCACACCAGATTATACCGAGCAGCTTTAACACCCAATTCTCTACACTTATTCGAAGCTGCCTTGAAAGTGAAGTTCCCATATTCCCAAACTATACAATCATCCATCAAATGATTCTTGAACTTTGAGAGATAAGAAAAGATCTCATTTCGTGATAAATTTGGATGATTTCACTGACCATTCTGTTGTGATACTCCAATTAATAGCTGCATTTCTCTGAATATCAGCACCAGTAAGCCTTCTGTACCCAAAAGCTTCCAATAATGATTTAACATTAAACCAAGGATCACTGAAAAGACTGAACTTTATTCCATTACCAATGATAAGCATGTCATACTGAAGGAAATAGCTCCCTCACCCCCAGCAGCCCGCTCCAAACCTCTGAATCACACTTGCTCTAACCCTATACTTGTATCTGAACCGGGCAATCCAGAGAGCAGCTTTGTTTGGAATGAAGTCAAACTTCTAAAGAGACCTTATGCCCAAACCACCTTCAGCCGTAGGTAAAGTAATCACCTTCCATCTGAGCAAGTGAAATGATTTTTTGTCCTGATTTGTCACCCCAAATGAAATCTCTGACCTTTCTCTCTATAGTCTATTGAACCCCAACAGGACTGGTGAAAGTACCACAAAAGATGTGACAGTGAGATTAGAGTCATTATTAATCCAATCTATTTGGAGTCAAATCCTAATATTTTCGTCATCACATTAAGAAAGCAGCATTCATAAGCCTTGCTCGTATCAAGCATGAGCATTAAATTTGTCTTTCACTCTTCTTTTATTTTTTATGTAGTGAACTATTTCATATGCATCTAGAATATTGTGAGATATTTGCTTATTACATCTTTAGACTTTATTTTCTCTCTTTTGTTTTTCTGGGTGGTGAGATGCGATTGGAGGGGTTCTTTTATTCTAGTCTATGCAGACGGTTATTTATACAATAATGCTAATACCTGACATATATCCAAAGAAAAGCATTCTAAATCATCCCAAATCTTCTGCCTTCTAAAAAATACAATGTTTGAAATCTTAAATTCAGCCTTATTCATTTACAGAAAACTACAGTTCCTTACATTGTTTGGAAGTTTCTTTTCATTACCTTGGTCCTGATAAAGTTGATGGCAGTAATGGAGTAGAAGCGATGGCAGTAATGGAGTAGAAGCACGAACGGTGTCTTCCTCCTCCTGATGAACAGCTGCTTCTGTTCCTCGTATGGGCAGAATCATGAAGTTATAGTCTAAGTTGTTTTCGATATCCACCAAACCCTCCAACAACTTCCTCTCTATGGTCTTTTGAACCCCAATAGGATTGGTGAAGGTACCAGCCCAGTAATAATAATAGGAGGATAGGGCTGATTTCACCCAAGATGGTTAATTGAATCATGAATGAGATCAGATGCGGTGCCGTTAACCACAACATATGAGACTGTGAGATACAAGTCATTATTAATCCAATCCATTGGGAGTCAAATCCTAATCTTTTCATCATCGATCACACTGAGAAAGTACCATTCATAAGCCGTGCTCATATCAAGCATGAACATTAAATTTGTCTCTCACTCTTCTTTTAACTTTTCTGTAGTGAACTATTTCATATGCATCTAGAATATTGTGAGTTATTTGTTTATAATTGCAGATTGACGCTTTATTTTCCATCTCTTTTGTTATTTATACAATAATGTTAATAATTGAGATTATTTAAAGAAAAGCATTCTAAATCATCCCAAATCTTCTGCCTTTAAAAAATACAATGTTTGAAATCATAAATGAAAACCTTACATTCAGCCTTCTTCACACTTTTCTTTTTCCTGAATAACACTTTCCTTGCATGAATCATTGTCTGGAAGTCTCTTTTCATTACCTTGGTCCTGATAAAGTTGATGGCAGTAATGGAGTAGAAGCGCGACCGGTGTCTTCCTCCATATGATGAACAGCTGCTTCTGTTCCTCGTATGGGCAGAATCATGAAGTTATAGTCTAAGTTGTTTTTGACATCCACCAAACCCTCCAAGACCTTAACCACCACTGACATGGAAGGCCTCATGGTGAAATCACTTTGAAGACACCATGCAGCAAGCCTCATCATCTCCACAACTTCTTCACGGTGTAGCTGCATATTCTCGCTGTACTTATCAATGATGTATTTAAGTTGTTCCTCTTCTGCTTTTCTCTTGAAAAGACTTAGCAGATGCATTTCTTCCTCAGGCTGAGATCTATCCAAATTTTTCCTCCCACATAAGATTTCAAGAACCACAACCCCAAAACTGTAAACATCTACTTTCTCCGTGATAATGGAGCTTAACCATTCAGGAGCCATGTAGCCCGGTGTTCCCTTCATTGTTGTAACAACTTGGCTTTGGTCCTTGTCAATGAGCTTTGACAACCCAAAATCAGCAACTTTCGCATTGAAATTCTCATCTAAAAGGATGTTTTGGGGCTTGATATCCAAGTGATATATTTTCTGCCTGCACTCTTCATGGAGATAGGCTAGTCCCTTGGCTATGTCAAAGATAATCTTCCTTCTGCATTGCCATCGAAGAGAAACCACCCGTGTTTTAGGAAATATCCACTTATTTAAGGAACTGTTACTCATGTACTCGTAAACCAGAAGCCTATATGATTTCTCAGCACAAAATCCAATCAGCCTAACCAAATTGATATGGTGAATGCTGCCTATCGACTCAACTTCAGCTAAGAATGACTTCTTTACTACACCTATCCCATCAAGATCCTTCACTGCAACTTTTGTGCCATTGCTCAACATCCCTTCATAGACTGAACCAAATCCTCCTTCCCCAAGCTTGCGACTGAAATTCTTGGTCATGGCTTTCACATTTTCATAAGAAAATCTAGTAGCAATACCCGGCAACTGGTCAAGATAATCCTCCTCCTCCACTTCCTTGGATTTTTGTTTCTTTCGGTAAAGGAAAACCCATGTACCAATTATAAGGAACATCCCCACTAAAGCTCCAACACTTGACACTATTATTACAACATGCTCTATTTTCTTTTTAGGAGAATTCTGCACTTTAATAAATGCAGAAGCATTGATTTGCGCCTTCTCATTGTCTATGAGGGAATAAACTTCAGGCAGTAACGAACAATTTCCCGTCTGAGAGCCAGAATGATTTCGAAATACAGCAGCTTTGCAAGAACAGTTCATCAAACATTTGTTCTTGCAGTTCTCCAAGTCTGTTTCTTCGTTGTGTGCAAAACCAAAATAATCAGTGTCCGGGAGCTCAAAAAGACTATGCTGCTGAGAATGACTGCAAGAAACCGGTTTTGTCATGTAGCATCCAAGATCCGGTTGCCTATCAACATTTCGCCTGAAATAGGTTTTTCCGTTGCTGGCTGCTTCAGGACAAGTGCACTGCAGCCACTGCTTTCCCTTTGAACATACACCATATTTTCCACACACCATAGGATACCCACACTCTCCATCAATAAAGTCTGTGAGAAGATCGGCCACCGGTTGCCACTTAAATTCTTTCCATTCATAGACTCTCAAATGCCCATCAGAATCCAACTTCATAAACTGTGCTGCTGATGAGGCAGGATATGTAAATTCACCGAAGCTTTTGTTTTTCGAGAACTGAATATAAGTTTGATTCGTTTTTGCTGATACAGAGAAATTACCCGCGAAAGTATAGTATGACTGTGGTGGATTGGAACCTATGTATGCAACCAACTCTTGATTATTAAGTTTGAGTGAATACTGACCTCTACGCCAATCTGTTGAAGAAATGTTAGAGGTGAGATTTTGCAGCCCAGAATACAGCATCTGCCCAGGTACTAAACAGTCTGTTGGTTGCTCAAAAGACTGCCACACCTGGGTGTTCTTTCCGTCAAAGAGAACAAGGTTCCCCATTTCCGTCAAGTTTAGGCCTGAAACGAGAAAGCCTCCCGTGTTTGTTGACCAAATCGAAGTGCCGTTTTCATCTCTCAAGATCAAATCTCCATCTTGAGTGAGATTCAAAGTAGCACCAATTTGAACAGCGTTCTCTCGGTTAGCAGACCAGACAAGTTGTGCATATTGTATTCCGAAGGTGGTGGTGGTGGTGGTGGTGGTGGTGGTGGTGGTGTTGTAATCGGATGTGTTTTGGAAGATGAGGACACCGAAGAGGCAAGCAGTGTCGTTCAAGTAGCAGTAGAAGCCACACACAAAGCTTGTGCCAGAGCTTCCTCGTCTAAGAAGGATTGGTTGGAGTCTCATCATTTCGAAAGTGGTATTCATGATGTCGGAGGAGCCTCTGTTGATCCATGAACTACTGGACAAGTTGGCCATTGGAGGATACTCACCGAGTTGGGCATTCATCATCCAGTTTAAAGATGACATTGAAAGAGCAAGAAATATAAAACCAGAGCAGCTCAGACTTTGGGCCATTATTCTAATCACAATGTTTTACATCTTCAGAAAAGAAAAGAAAAAAAAAAGGATGAAAAGGGAAGGAGGAAATTGAAAGGAGGAAACAGAATAGGGATAGGGAAGGAGGAAATAGGAAAGAAAAGAGAAGGAAGGAGGGGAAGTCCTTATCACCACAGAAAAGAAAAGGAAGGAGGAAATAGGAAAGAAAAGAGAAGGAAGGAGGGGAAGTCCTTATCACCGCAGAAAAGGAAAGGAAGAGAGGAGTCACTATTTCTTAACTCTCTCATTTTCTTTGAACTTTCAAAGGAACTCTTGCTATCCATAACACTCCATACGCAAATCCAAGTTGTCTCCCATACTTTTCCACCAAGAAAATTGTGATAAGATGCTTCATAATTTTGACATTTCTTGGATAACACCACCACGCCAGTTTGTAATTTTGACTTTCATCCAAAAATAAACTTGGATGTCTCGTACTATTTTATCATGCATGGCCATACTACTCTGAGATTTACTGGTAAGAACTCCATGATTTTTATTTTTTTTTATTTTTTTGTAACATATTTCCACATTGTTCCATCCAACGGCAACCTCTCGCAGTCCGATTTAACCCAAAGAAAACCATCTTGCTCATTTTCTTGACATGGGTTTTTCAGTTTCTTTGTTGATGCCTCCAAAGGAGAGCCAAACTTGTTCACTGAATTCTAGAATAGGCTCCATTTAAATCTCTGAATGTAATTTCTTGAAAAAAAAAAAAAAAAAAAAAAAAAAACTGGTGGCCCCATTGTAAGTACCAGTTGACGCGGTCTTGGAGCAGCCAACATCGACTCTAACTTTCTCTCATTTTCTTTGAACTTTCAAACGAACCATGTGATCCATAACTCTCCATGCGCCAAATTCTATCTTAAGAAGTCGTTGTCTCCTATATTTGCCCAATAAATCACTACTTTTCCACAAAGAAGTTTTTGATAAGATATAGTTTTGACATTTCTCTCTTGTACTTATTCTTGTTTCTTTCTCTGAACAATTTCCTATTCATATTTAATTATTCATTTTAAGTCCCACAACTAGGGTTTTTTTTTTTATTTTTTTTTATTTTATATCTTGACAATGGTTAGTATATTTAGCTTGGAGAGGAGAATTGAACCATGGATCTATAGGGTGAGGGGTCTAAAGGCCTGATGTAACATGGGTTATTTGTCCCACATCGAATCCGGATGAAAAAGTGATTGGGTATAAATGGGTGGGTTACAGTATTACCCAACAGTTTGAGTTTTTGGGTAAATGGACAAACGCCTACTAGTTACAGTTAATATCAGAATCAGTTCAGTCCTAATCCTTGATCTGGTGCCACGTGTTTATAAATAAAGTATTAAGAGTTATAAGTAATTTCATTCATAAACTATATCTATGAAAAAAAAAAAAAAAAAAAGTTCATTCACAAACCACATTGAATAATCATAAGGTAAACCATAAATAAATTTTTTTTTTAGAATTTGGAAAATGCAAGATTTAATTTTTATATAAAAATTACCATTAGTAACTATAATAATGGTTTTTTTTTTTTTTTTAACTATATTTTTAATTTTTTGAAGCAAAACGTTTATTCGAATTTGAATGGTTATAATAAATTTCATTCACAAACTACATCCAATAATCATAAGGTAAACCATAAATAGATTTTTTTTTTTTTTGTCGAATTTGGGAGAGACCAACTTTAATTTTTATATAAAAATCACCATTAGTAACTATAATTTAGTACCACAAATAGGGTTTTACAAAATTTTTGAAGAACCAACTTTAATTTTTAGAAAAATTACCATTAATAACTATAATTTAGTACCATAAATAGATTTTACAAAAAATTTGGGGAGGCCAATTTAATTTTTATGTAGAAAAATGACTATTAATATATATATTTAATAACTAGTACTAAAATTTTGCCAAAATTTTGGAGGGGCCATGGCCACCCCTGCCCCCTCTCCCCCAGCTGCTGCCAAGGGCTCGGCCCAAAAGGCGTTTAGGTGAACCACTCCGGATAAACAAGGGAGTTTGGATGGGAGAAAATGTAACAAGTGTCATTTGTCTCATATCGAATCCGGATGGAAAAAGTGATTGGATATAAATGGGTGGACATGCAGCACTATCCAATAGTTTGAAGTGAACTTTTAGATAAATAGGCAAGCATCCACCCAGTACCCTTTATCACTCTCCTTGGCTAGTGTGTCATTTTAACTTCCATTAAAAAATAAATAAACTTGATGCATGGCCATACTATTTTATCATGCATGGCCATACTACTATGGGATTTACTGGTAAGAACTCCATGATTTTTTTTTTTTTTTTTTTTTAAACATATTTCCGAATTATTCCTGAATTTGTTTGAAACCGAAATTTCTGTGGTCCATCCAACGGCAGCCTCTCCGTTCTTCGGCGAGGTAGTCCGATTTAACCCAAAGAAAACCATCTTGCTCATTTTCTTGACATGGGGTTTTCAGTTTCTTTGTTGATGATCCTCCAAAGGAAAACTAAACGCGTTCACTGAATTCTATAATAGGCTCCATTTAAATCTCTGAATATAATTTCTTTAAACGAAAAAAAAAAAAAAAAAACACCGAAATGGGAGTTATCGCAACAATTCAAATTCCAGAGGAAAAAAAACATGTTTTTATGGTGCATTGATAAAGCAAGACCTACTCTATTCAAATTCCAGAGTTAGCCCAACAATTGAGAAAATAAGTACCAACAAAGTGTCTAAAGCTGAAGAAAAAAAAAAAAGTGTAGTAATAGATTTTCGATTAGTAGCAATCGAATATTAAACAGGATTTCACCTGAGAAATAATTTCCACAGGAATATCACACCGATGACAGAGTAACATGGCATCTAAAACAATGTATACTAGAAACATTGAAGAAGAATAAAAACAAAATGCACACTCAAAACTGTTTATAGATTGCCTTGCTCGTCATCTACACTTTCAATATTTTTAACAGTGGAAAAATAGTAACAAAAAATGAATCGAAGTCGAATTTCGCATCCATCTGTTTATTATAGCTTGCCTTGCGCATGCATTCTGATGCATGATACAATATACAATATAATGAACATATACAAAATCATTCCATAACAAATGGGCACTTCTGCTAACCATGGACCTAGTGGATGGTAAAAAGTTGTTAGGCTGACTCCTGATTGATGACAACTTCTCTCTTTTCCCCCCAACTGAGCGAATAAAGAAACCATTGAAACAGAAAGGCAAAGACTGAAAAACTAAGGAATCAGTGAATGCTGCCATTCCGACATTCGCCAAAACTTACACCAACATTAGCTTTTCCTTCAAGCAAACCTGAGTATCAGTGACAAAACCAGGAATTTATTTTACGGGGGCACATTGAACATAATATATATATATACTTTCAACTAACAATGCAACAAGGCAACAAGCCAAAAATTAGAAGTGTAATAACAGTGCGATAATCAAAGATTCAAATAGTATGTCACAATTCATAGACAAAAAAATAAATAAAAAATGCAGTAAAGAAAAATTCAGAAACATAAAATACAGATAGGAAATTCATAAAATTCCGGGTAAAATGCAAAAAGAAAACCTGAACTATTGGCCTATTGCAACAAACACCCCTGAACTATTAATTTGTTGCAGTTAAGGACAATCCGACAGGTGGGTTGATTGGAAAAATCAAAAGACAATTGTACCCTTACTAAAATGACGTTTTGGCACTTGTACACTTAATTGTATGACGTGGCAACTGTAATCTCAAAGACCAGTTAAAAAATGACACATCACCCAACACCAACACCCCTCTCCCACTTTCTCTCTCTACCACCATCAACAAGCCAATCTCACTCTCTCTCTCTAACCCATCTACCCTTTTTTCCATTCTCTCTCTACAAACATCAATCCGGCCAAATCTCTCCCACACACACACACACACACACACATATATATATATATATATATATATATATATATATTAATGCGTATATATATACATATAGACACATACAGAGAGGGATGGAGATAAATATATATATATATATATATATAGACACAGAGAGAGGAAAGATGGAGCCGTTCAAGACTCTGGGATGCACGATTCATGTCGACCATGCTCCAAGAGCACAACGGCGATACTCTAAACGTCGTCGACCCGAGCTCTAATGAGATTTTGCATCAACAAATGTCAGACCAGACCATGCTCTCGATTCGGGTTCACCAAAACAAGCAACTGGGTCTCAATCTCAACCATTAAATTCGGCAGCGAGTGTGAAGACAAAAAGGGGGTGTATCGCCGGCGTAGTTAGGGTTCCGACGAGGAGCGTGAAGGCGCCGGCAGAGAGGAGTAGTGAGGGTTTTGTTTGGGTTTCAAATCCTCTGTTTCATTCAAACCCACATCTGAATTCCAATTACAGTCCTTGATCCATCACTTTTGAATTCTTCGATTCTCCGGACAACTGTAATTGCATAATTACACAAGCACAGCCCAAAATTAAGGAGTCTATGCCTAGAGGTACGAGCAAGATATATATATATCCACCTTTTAAACCCATAGCAGTATTGCTCCTGTGCTATGTTATCTCCTTTACACCAGAAAAATTACATATAATTTTGATGGTTGTTACTTGGGGAATCTGGGTTAGATTAATCTTGGAGGATTTATCAGAAATCCCACGAGCATTATTCTTCTCGATCTGGTTTTCTATCAAGGCAGAGGTGTTAACTTTATTGCAAGGCATCAGTGAGGGTTCTTTTATATTAAGACGTATCCAGCTGATAGAGGGAGATGTTGAGGTTCTTGTTGATTGGGTATTATCACCATCTGTTTTAAACATATGTTTGAAGTTATTCAAATTTCAAGCTATATATATACAGATAGAGGGAGGAAGAAAGAAAGGTGTAGGTCGGCATTTTTTTTTTTCCCACGAAGAAGATGAATAGTGTTTCCAACTATATATATTTGTGTGCATATATAGACATGAGGATAAGGGTGTGTTTGTGTTTGGGTGTCACAATAAGGGGAATCAAGTTTTTTCATATTTATAAGGGTATTATGGTCTTTAAATTTTATATTATCTGCCATGTGACCGCACGTGATATTTTAACAGTGAGTTTTGACCAGCACAACGCCTGATGGGGCTATCTGCAACAAAAATTGTGTAGTAGGGAGGAAGTGGGGAAGGGGGGTTTTTGCATTTAACCCTAAATTACTGTAATAAATCTGAAGAAGAAAAAAAGAATAATAGAGAGAAAAGAAGGTTACTGCACATATATGATATACATGAGTGAACAAGCAGACTGTTGTCCCAATGTCTATTGCTACTGTTATTGAGGATAACACAAGTTGGATTGATGTGTATGGTGCTTTCTCAGTTTGCTCTCTGCCCAATGAAGCTAATGTTGTTGCTCACCATTTAGCTAGTTGGGCATATAAAGTGGAGAGACTTTTTATTTTTGACTTTTGAGATTCCAATTTGTATTGGAGAGACTGCTACTGCTGATGTAAGGGTTTAGTGTAACCCACTAATCTTCTTGCCTTTAAAGAAGAAATTTAAAAAAGGAAAAATGCACTTGCCGCAACTTGATTACTTGAGAACTTCATTAAATATAAAAATGAGATATCCATTGCAGCTAGGTGCAGAACATCCTCAACAACCCAACTCATGTTACCAAGGATGGAGCCAGCATGGGACCAGGGGGGGCACGTGCCACCCCTGGGCCTAGGCTAGCATACTAATTTTTTAATATATATATATATATATATATGCTTATAATTTGTAAAGTACTACATAATGCCCCCCTTAAAATTATTTTTTTCTAAAAATCTCTCTAATTCTTTCTTTCTTTTCCGTTTTACTCTTCTTCCTCTTCAATTTTTATTTTTTTATTATTCTATTTTATTACTATTATTCATTTTATTATTATTATTTTGTATTCTCTTCTAATGTTGCATTCATTTTCTTCAATCAAACCCTAATTCTTTTGAACATATTATTTTGTCCATATAAGCTTAAAGATAGTCTTCTAAGATTAATCCTTCATATACATATATATATATATTCCAACAAACTCAATTTTCAGGTAACTAGAAATGATTTATACAAATTTGCTGTGATTTTAAATAAAAAATACAAATTGTATATTACCCTAGGTTGATTTATGTGGCAATAATTAAACCAACGTGCCCAATATTGATTGTGAGTCAATATTTTATATTAAAATATCATTGTGCCCAATATTTAACCAATACAACCACCACACCATCCTTTTTTTAGATATTCCATTACACCATCGTAAGTCATTTTATTTTATTTTATCTAGTGCACTGTCAATTCTAACAACCACCCCCCACCCCCACCACCACCACACACACACAAACACCCCCCTGCATGCTACATGAATCAACAAACTCTAAAAGCAAGGCATTTCTTAAAGAGGAGATGGAGAAAGGCTTACATAAGTATGGGAGATTCAGATAACATGATATCAGAAAGTTCAAGGGCCATCATCTTGATCATCCATCTCCTCAAGAATGACATATTTTGCAGCAGCATTGGTTGTTTGTGGCCCCGCCACATCATCACTTGCTTCCCCCTTTTGTAGCTTCTGGTACCTGTGGAATTAAGATATAAAAAATAAAAAATAAATAAAAATTCAGATATTCATGTCAAAGACTTCAAATACTAGATTAAGAATGCAACATGTGATTCATAACTAATAAATTATGGAAGTCAATATGTTGTGGGTCTTATGAAGCTAAAGTCAAATTCTTTAATTTTATCATTGTTAGAATGTTTTATATATATTGGGTCATTATGTAATTACATATAGTTGGTAGGGCCCTTGTGTTATTAAGTCTTGTATCCTTTATATAAGCCTACATAGGCTTATTAGGTTTTGAGTGAAATATACAAGAAACATGTCTGCACTCTCTCTCACTCTCTCTCTCTCTCTCATGATTTTGAACATGGTATCAGAGCTACACGAATTCATGGGTGTGAGTCTGTAATTGTGTAGTTCTTGTATAAGATCGGAATCGCGATTGTGGTGTTGGTGTGTCTCTGCCTCGTTCGTCGTTGCCGGCAGCTCCTCGTTCACCGTCGTCAGATCTAAAGCCTCGTTCGTCGTCATCAGATCTGAAGCTTGTTCGTCATCGTCTCTGCCTCGTTCGTCGTCGCCGGCAGCTTCTCTTTGGTTGTCAGCAAGCTCGCCGACATCTACTGTCTTGATTTGCAGAGGTGAGGTTCATCGATTCGCGTTTTTTTGGCCGGAAGTTGCGGAGGTCGCTGCTTATTGATTCGGCTGTTGCTTGTGACTGGGTTGCCGTCGTCTCTGCTGCATTGTTCACCGGCGTTTGTGAAGGTGTGAAGAAGAAGACCCGTGTTTGGCTATACAGTTATGCCATTCCAACCCTGGGATAGCTATTATAACCCTAGTTTACTAAAACCAGGATAGCACAGATCCGACCCGTTTGCCCAGATCCGGTTCATTTTCCAGATCTAGTTTGTTTGACCAGATTCGGCCCGTTTGACCAAATTCGGCCCGTTTGACCAGATCTGGCCCGTTTGCCTAGTTCCGGCCCGTTTTCCAGGTTTGGCCAGAATACAGATTTTGCATTTTTTTTTTTTCTCTGTTTTGCTAGGTTCAACATGACGTCCAGTTCAGATTTGCTTTCTCCCACATCCAGTTTTCATTCTCCCATGACTTCCGTTAAACTCAATGGGAAGAATTACATACTGTGGGCTAAATCTGTTGCAATTTTTCTCAAAGGTAAAAGTCTTGGTACTCATCTGACTAAAGATAAACTTAAGGAAACTGATGCTTCTATTGATGCATGGGAAAAGGAAGATGCTCAGATCATCTCTGTGATGTTAACCAGTATTGAACCCCAAATCAGTTCAACTTTACTTTATTTGGATACTGCCAAGGAGATATGGGACAGATTGAAGCAATTGTATTCTGGAACAAGTAATATCACCCGTGTTTATGAGCTCTATAAGTAGTACTTCAATCTTGAACAAGGTAATCACAGTATCGAAGAGTATTATTCCAAAGTTACGGGAGTCTGTGAGGAGCTGAATATGTATCAGCCCATTACTGCTGATGTTCAAAGTATGCAACAACAACGCGAGGACTTTAATGTTATCCGTTTTCTTACTCGTTTGTCATCAGCATATGAGTCTATTCGTGCATAGATTATGGGCAGTCCCACACTTTCATCTCTTGCTGATGTGTTTTCTCGACTTCAGTGTGCTAAACTTGCAAATGACACCTCAAATTTGAATAATGGGCAGAGTGGTGAGCGTTCAGCATTGGTAGTTTCAAAGGGTGAACATAATGCTTACCATGGAGGTCGTGGGGGACGCTCCACAAGTGGTGGTCGTGATTCACGGGGAGGACGTGTCCATGGCAGGGAATCACGAAAATGTACTCATTGTGGCCTTTCTAATCATACAGTGAATTTTTGTTGGGACCTTCATGGCAAATCATCTAGTTATGCAAATCAAGTTTCCTATTCTCCGAATGATGTTGCTTCTGGATCTCATCACGTAGCTGAATCAAATACGGACCCTGTTCCACGTGATGAGTATACTCAGTTTTTGTCTTATAAGCAAGCATTTAATTCATCTTCCACGGCTACCTTTGCCCAGTCAGTCAGGTACTGCACACACATGTCTATTGTCTTCCACTCGCAGTCCTTAGATCATAGACACTCGAGCATCCGATCATATGACTGGATGTTCTTCTCTTCTATCTGACTTTAATTATGTACCTCCTTCTCAAAGTGGTACTCTTGCTAATGGTTCATCCACTAAGGTTTCAGGTTTGGGCACAACTAAACTTAGTGATTCCTTGTCTCTCCCGTTTGTTTTATATGTTCCTCAGTTTCTCTTTAATTTAATGTCTATCAGTAAACGTACTAAATCTCTCCAATGATCTGTTACATTTTATCCTACTTCTTGTGTGTTTCAGGATCTCAAGACGAAGAAGATAATTGGCACGGGACATGAAGCTGGTGGCTTATATTACTTTGATTTGGAACCTTATCCTGTGGCTCTTTAGTCTTCTCTGTCTCCATTCCAGCGGCACTGTCGTCCTGGTCACCCATCACTTCAAGTTTTGCAGTGTCAAGTTCCGAGTCTTAGTCATTTGAAATTCTTGTCATGTGAAGTTTGTTAACTTAGAAAGCACCATCGCGTGTCTTTCAAGTCTAGGGTTAATAATTGTGTCTCTAGTCCTTTTCATTTGGTTCATTCAGATGTATAGGGTCCAATAAAGCATTCTTCAATCAATAAATTTCATTATTCTGTGACATTTGTAGATGATTATTCTCGCCTGACTTGGTTGTTTCTAATGAAAGATCGTTCTGAGTTATTTTTACTTTTTCAAAAATTTTGAAAAGAAATCAAAACTCAGTTTGGATGCCTAATTCGTATTCTACGTTCTGATAATGCTAAGGAATATTCTTCAACCCCCTTTGATACATATCTTAGTGATAAAGGAATTATTCATCAAAATTCATGTGTTTATACTCCTCAACAAAATGGAGTTGCAGAACGTAAGAATTGACACCTCTTAGAAGTAATCCGTGCTCTTTTGTTTCATATGCTTATGCCTAAACGTTTTTGGGGTGATGCTGTTCTTACTGCCTGTCATCTTATTAACCGTATGCCGTCCTCTGAATTAGATGGCAAATCTCCACATTCTATTTTATTTCCTGATTCTCCCTTGTTTTCTCTTAGTCATAGAGTTTTTGGATGTGTATGTTATGTCCACAATCTTGGTCCTGGTTTTGATAAACTAGACCCACGTGCCACAAAGTGTGTATTTCTTGGATACTCTCGTTCTCATAAAGGTTATCGCTGTTATAGTCCTGTTTCTCAACGATACTTTATTAGCGCGGATGTAACTTTTTGTGAGTCCATCCCATATTTTTCAGATACTGATTCACTTCTTGATATCACTCCTAAGTCGCCTCTTCCTGCGGTTCCTCTTCCTTCACTTTCTCTTCAACCTAGATCTCCTTCGCCTGCCCCGTTACAGGTGTACACTCGAAGACCAAAGCGATCTGTTGTCATGCCTCCTCCGTCGTCTTCAGAGTCTTTGGATCCAACACCATCCGTTGTGTCTGATACCTTGTCCATTGCACTTTGTAAAGATACTCGCTTGTGTGTCACTAATCATCCCATTACTCATTATGTCTCTTATAATTCCTTATCGCCATCCTTCTCATATTTTTCATCTCAGTTGTCTACTACATTTGTTCCTAAGACTGTGCAGGCTACTTTGTCTGATTCAGGCTGGAGGAAAGCAATGCAAGATGAAATGGATGCTTTGCATCAGAATGGTAGTGGAATCTTGTTCCATTACCTCCAGGTGCCAAGCCTGTTGGCTGTCGCTGGGTATATACTGTGAAGTATCTTCCAGATGGGTTCGTTGAGCGTTTAAAAGCACGTCTGGTTGCCAACGGTTATACCCAGACTTATGGTATTGACTATGATGAGACGTTTGCCCCCGTTGCTAAGATTTCTTCTATTCGTGTTTTGATTTCTCTTGCTGTTAATAGACATTGGCCTCTGTTTCAGTTAGACGTTAAAAATGCCTTTGTGCTTGGTGACTTAACAGAAGAGGTTTATATGGAGCAACCACCTGGGTTTGTTGCTCAGGGGGAGTTATCTTCACACTGTTTGTCGCCTTAAAAAGGCCCTGTATGGATTGAAACAATCTCCATGGGCTTGGTTTGGAAAATTCTCTGAGGCGGCATTAAAATTTGGTCTTAACAGATGTCAAACCGACCATTCAATATTTCACCAGCGCATTAAAGTTGGCTTCATATTTCTTGTGGTGTATGTAGATGATATTGTGATCACAGGTGATGATTCTGAAGGCATTGCTAAGTTAAAGTTGTTTCTGCAATATCGATTCCATACTAAAGACTTGGCTAAACTTAGGTATTTCTTAGGTATTAAAGTTGATAAATCCAAGAAGGATACAAGTTTATCCCAACGAAAATATGTGTTGGACTTATTAGAAGAAACAGGTATGTTAGGTGGTCGTTCGGTTGATGCTCCTATGGATTCAAATACAAAACTTGTGTCTGATGAGGGTGATCTATTTAATGACCCGGGCAGATTTCGTCGCCTTGTTGGGAAATTAATTTATCTCACTATCACTTGACCTGATATTTCATATGCAGTTAGTCTTGTAAGTCAGTTCAGGGGAGCCCCTAGAATGCCACATTGGATTGTTGTTCTTCGGATTATCCGATATAACAAGCAAGCTCCAGGTTTTGGGTTACTATATAAATCAAATGGTCATCTCAGGGTGGAAGGTTTTACAGATGCTGACTGGGCTAGTTCTCCTTCAGATAGGAGATCTACTACAGGCTACTGCACATTTGTAGGAGGAAATCTTGTTACATGGCGAAGTAAAAAGCAAACGATGGTAGCTCGATCTAGTGCTGAAGCTGAGTACAGGGCAATGACCCATACCACTAGTGAGTTGACATGGATACAACATTTTCTAAAAGAACTTGTGTTGACAGTTGAAGCTCCTACTCCATTGTTCTGTGATAATCAAGCAGCAGTTCACATTGCATCACATCCTGTGTTTCATGAGAGGACCAGACATATTGAAGTTGATTGTCACTTTATTCGAGAAAAAATATTACGTGGGAGCATCTCTACTCCATTCGTGAAGTCTGAAGATCAATTAGCTGATATGTTTACCAAATCATTGGGTCATAACCGGTTAAGAACTATCTGTTCCAAGCTGGGATTATTTTATATATATTCTCTAGCTTGAGGGCGAGTGTGAGTGTTTTATATATATATATATATATATATATATATATATATATATATATATGTTGGGTCATTATGTAATTACATATAGTTGGTATGGCCCTTGTGTTATTAAGTCAGTCTTGTATCCTTTATATAAGCCTACATAGGCTTATTAGGTTTTGAGTGAAATATACAAGAAACATGTCTGCACTCTCTCTCTCTCTCTCTCTCTCTCTCTCATGATTTTGAACAATCATCATCATCATCATCATCGACATAATTGTCATCGTCTCTAACCCATATAAACAGGGTCAAGGTCAAATGCTAGAATTTGCTTTTTCCAATTTTATATTTCTATCACAAACTATTCTCTTATTATATTTGATTTTTTGAAGTCATTTGTAATTATTATCCACTGGCCCCTTCATCTCTTGCTAAAGTAATCTTTCTTTTCTTACTAGTGTATCTACGGGTCTATGATGCACATGTCCATACCACTTAAACCAGCTTTCTCTTAGTGCATCACTAAATAGGCAGTATTCCTAATTTCTCACTCACTTTGATTCATTAATCTTGTATCATCTAGTCACTCCTATCGTCCATCACAACATTCTGATTTCAACAACACAAATACATTGTATTTGCTTCTTTATTAACACCCAATATTATATTTCCATATAAGACAGCTGGCCTAATGTTAGGCTTGTAGAATTTATTCCTTCTAACTTTTGATATTCTTCTATCACCCAAGACACCAATAACCTCAATTTTGTCCAACCTTCTCCAAGTCTTATAATTACATCATAATCTATCTCCTTGGCCCCTCGTATTATTGATCTGTAATATCAAAAATGGCTGTTTTGAGTAATCACTTGGCCTTGATTTGTTATCATTACATTGTCATTCTTTGAACTTTATTAAATTCAACTCAATGCTCTATTTTAGTGCTACTAATTTCTAAATTTTTTAGCTGTAATGTATTCCTACATGTTTTTAAATTTATTATAAAGCCTACTTACAAGTATCCAAAGGCACTACATCATATGCAAACAACATGCACCTTGAATGTATGCTTGTAAGTCTTTTATTATTTGATGTAAAACTATTATAAATAGATACGTGTTTAGTACTAATTCTTCTGTAATTCTTCTTTTTTTTTTTTTTTTAGGAAAATCACTAGTCTCTCTACATATAATATGAACACTAATATTTAAATTCATATATATGTCAGAAATAAGTTTGTAAGTTTCATATGAATCCATATTCGCTGTAAGACCCACAAAATTATATCCCTTGGTACTCAATCACATGCTTCTCTAAATCTATGAAGACTGTGCAAGTACAATTTTTTTTTAAAAAAAACTTCTATAGTTTTCTACTAATTGTGTTATCAAGGATTTTTCCTTAATCTATAGTAGTGCATTTTTCTGACAAAAAGCCAAATTAGTTATCAGACACTACAGATTATTTCCTTAAATCTTTTTTTCAATAACCATTTCCCCCAATATCATCGTGACAAGTGAATTTAATTCCTAGATATCTCTAGACCCTTCTCAATTTTATGGTTAATTCGGAAAACTCGCGACTCGTGTCAGAAAAAAGACCTCTTGGTAGCAACTCTCTATTTTATACAACCTTTCATTTGATCTCGCTTTAAAATTATATTTTGTTTCCATGTAAAGAAAATCATATATCAATATCCAAGGTTTTCCAGTCACATGTTAGCCAAGTGTTCAAAATTAAGAATATTGTTTATGAGTTACTAACATTATTCAAGATGAGTATTATAAGTGTTCATACTTCTAAGATTAATTTCAACTTTAGCAACAAGCATAAGAAATAAATGTATCAAAATAAGTGCTTGATAACCATGTCAACTGATGACTTACTTGTACCAGTTGAATAAACTGACACCAAACATGATTGTGATGAGACCAACCCCTTTCAACCACGTAAAGTGATCATGGAAGTAAAACACTGCAACCTGAACACATACTGCATAACATCAGTTTTAAATTAAATAACAAAATGCTTCATATCAGCAGACTCCCAATGACAAAGTAAAATTTGAACATCGGTTAAAGCCAATCAAGTCATAAAAATAAAAGTGCTAAACTCATATCCATCATTCTGTTACAGACTAAGAATATGAAGAGTCTCCCAATGAGAATAATTGGGAATGCAAATTGCAAAGTCAGGAAGTGAATCAGTTGGGCATACCACATTTGGGAGAACTTCTATTGATTTAACTTTTAAATTAACAATGTTTTAATCTAGCTCAGTCGAGAAATTTGAATTGACTCTATATACCAAATGTAATAATATATAAGACTATTGTCGGCTGTTAGTTCAATCACCACATTGCATACAGTTGTTGAGACTCGTGTAAACTAGGCCTGAGCCTTTAGACTTCACATCTTTTTTAAATTTTAGTCTTGTCTCTATTTCTTTTCTTTCATCAAATTCAACTCAAATTTTTGTATTCAGTGGCAGAGCCACCTTATATGCCCAGTGGGGGCAGCTTTCCCCCCTCAATTTTATTTTTATTTTAATATTATATGCATATATTACAATAATATAACGTTGCCCCTATAAATTTCTGTTGTCCCTAAAAAGCTATGCGATATTCATACTCGATTTTATTTTATAATAGAAGAAATGGCATAAATTACCAGGTGGAGTGTAAGAATATTTTGGGACAATTGTTAAGTGAATCTAGCTTTTGGAGGGCAATTGTTTCATTTTTCATTTTTCAGGGGAAAAAAGAAAGTGTAATATGAGAGTTCTTTAGTGGAGTGTGAATACCATTTCCCTATCAAGATCCCACATCTTTCATTCAAAGAAGTTATTTTATCTTATTAGTATTCATAATAGGCTAGTACTAGAGTAAATTGATGCCTCCATCATTGTTTCTATCGCTATCTGAATCAGCTAATGAGGGGGAATACAGACAGCTTTTAATCACTTTCCACCAGGAATTTGTGAAGGTGATGGATGTATAACTTGTTAAGTTATACAGATAATTAAATTGGAGAGAAGCAAATTGTTTTCTATGTTCCAATTGTTGAAGTAATTTGAAATATATTTTCCAAGAATGCATGATGTAGGAGAAGTGCAGAGAGGCACCCTCCTATAAATTGTGACAGAGACTGAAGGTAGGAAAAGATGGAATTTTAGGTGTCAAAAGAGCTTTATTGTCAACTGTAATCAGTTTTTATGTTTCTGAAGGTAGGAAAAGATAGAATTTTAGGCTTCGAACAGGTGTAAGAAAACAGTAAAGTTTGAGGGTTTCAATTAGGCAAGCAAAGAGGATGTGCTGGGCTTTTCTGTGGCAGTGAACAGAGTCTGTGAAGGGTAACAAAGGGCTGGTTGTGTTTTTCGAGTACGGGCTTCAGCAAACGAAGTTGTCGAGGGGATGAGTTTCTGAAACATGATCTCAAGGGATTAACTAGATAAATCTGTGGTTCTAAATGCTTAAAAAGTGGATAAATAAATTTTAAAAAATCAAATGAAAAGGGCAGTACAAGAAGAAGCTAAACATCATACCAACATTCCCTTACGAATCACACCTAGGGTTTCAATTGCGTCACACAATCCACAATGAATGCAATTGTTGAAAGTTTCTCTAATAACTTGTTCTCCATTTAAAGCTAAAGGCAGTACACGATTATATAAATTTTAACTTATGTAGAGACTAGGAAGCTTTAACTACTAGAATCATATAAAAGCTACTGAAATTCACGAGTAAAGAGTAAATACTATAATTGAACCCATAAGATGACCCATGGACCATAGCCACCGCTCGTGTCCAGCAAATTTGAAAATTACAAAAAAAATTGACTCCTAATATGCAGAATACATATAAGAAAACTGAACAGCGCGCAGCATTTGACTTGAAAACAAACATAAAATAAGAGTCAACTAAGGTTAGAACTAAATAATATAAGATCTCATGTAAGCCCAGTCAGAAAAATCAAATCAATTTCTATGATTTTTCAAATTTGCTTTTCCTTGAGTTTATTATACTTTTTTTTGGGGGTGTAAATTTCCTCAAGTTTATTATAGTTTGAATTGTTCTCTCCCTTTGGGAGAAAACTTGACCTTATGTTTTGTACAGTTAAGTAAAAGAATTCATAAGCTAAAGTTGCACCCTCGGATTGGTTGCTTTTTCCTCTTTGTTGGAGGTAGTAAAGAGCGATTTAAAGACCAATCTTCTCAACCATATTTATTAAAATTTGATGGACTGACAAAATCAATTGCTGAAGTACTTGGAGTAGAAAACACATCCTTAAATCAAATCACAAACTTGAACCAAGTAAAATGCTTACTTCAATTTTAAACATTCTACTTCAATTTTAAATTATGTTCTTTATTTTTCTTTCTTCTCTTGGCACTTCTATCAAAAATCTTGGTTTCTGTCCCCGTGACTTCTTCTTTCATCAAAATATCTTTTTGTTAGTGTGTTTTGGCCTTTTCTTGGATAGTAAGTGTAGTCCGACTAAAAGTGTTTCACCCTTTATAATCTGTTCACCTATTCCTTTAGGCCGGTTTTGATTATTTATATTGAATTACAACTTTGAGCTCGCGTAATGCTGATTCTTTACTTGACACGACTACTTTGAAGGAATCCTTGCATCAGTATTCAAGTTGAGTGGATGAACACAAAGTTGTCACAGTACGAAAACGTTCTCTATTGCAAATGCTCAACCAACGAGTCTGTCCTTTTCCTGAACACTTCGGATAAGCAGAATAATCTTGTTGTCAATCTATTCTATAGGCACATAAGATCTCCCACACTGTCAGCACATAGTTGTAGAACCCTCAATTCTGAAACCAAAATGATTTAAGACAAGTAGAGAAGCAGTCTCTAAAAAACTGACACAAAATCGATGTATGATGGTAAAAAGACTTTCATGGTGAATTGAACTATGGTTTATGTAAAAAAATATATATATATGGAGCCTCAAGTCTGTAAATGTGTAAAGGAAGGGTAGTGTTTTGGAGATTAAATTAGGCAAGGATATTGGATACTTCAGGGATTGTGAAGAGTACACTTGAACAGTAACTGAAATGGTTGTGTTTACTTTGGGTGCTAGCTCAAACGGTTGAAGTATGCAAGTGGTTGTGGTAGCGTAATATGATCTTCGGACGTTAAGTAGATCTGTTAAAAATCAAGCGAATGAAGAAGAAAGGCACCAGAAGAAGCTAGGCGTCATACCTAGATTCCCTCAAGCATCATGTAATACAGTTTGAATTACACCACACAATAAAAAAAGAATATAATTGCTGAAATGTTTCTCTAAAAGTCGTTTCCTATTGAACAAAAGCATTACATAGGTATATATGTATTTTTAAGTAATTATGATTCCTAACGCTAGTACGACTTGAATTTATTCAGAAATAAGAGTCTTTGATTCGTAATTATTAAAATCCACAAATCAAAGGGACTAATACCACAATTTGAATCGAAAGAAGACGGATAACCTATGACCAGTAACCACAATCACATCTACCAAATTAAAATTTACTAAATACACATAAAATATAATAAAACATTTTTAAAATAATCAGCAGATCCTGACCTAAATTAAACATAAAATAAGACTCAGCTAAGCCTAAAACTAGATAATACAAGATCCCAGAATCTGTCATGAAGTTTTCTTTTCCTCAAACTTTTCATTAACTGCATCAATACGTTTTATATAACATAATAATTTTTTTTTTTTGATAAGTAAGAAATAACATAAAAAGGCATTCAAAAAGGGAACGCATCCCAATTACAAAAGTGGAGCCGGGACTAAGGTCCCAGAGAATCCAAGAAAATAATTAAATCATCAGAAGAGGAACAAAAGCTCCTCATCACATAATTGAAGAGAAAACGAAGAATGTAAAGTTTGATCATTGCCGTGGACAACTCTTTCCCTTCGAACATTCTGCTATTTATCTCCTTTCAGATGCACCACCATACACAATGTGGTACAATTCTCCAGAAATTGCAATTATCTCTTCTCACTCTACAACCTCTCCAAACATGAATTAACTCCTTTGTAGATCGTGGCATAACCCAACACATACCAAACAGCCCAACAATAAGATTCCAACATTCATTCGCCAAAGGGCAATGCAAAAGGAGGTGATCAACGGACTCCTCATCATCCTTGCATAGACAACAACGATTAACGATACAATTGCCACTTTTTCTCAAATTATCAATTGTCAGAATCTTTCCCCACACAGCAGTCCAAACAAAGAAAGCCACCCTAGTTGGAGCCATAGACAGCCAAATAGTTTTCCACGGGAAATCTCGATTAACAAAATTTGACAAGCATAAGAACAAGGATCTAACTTCGAAGCGACCGTGGGAAGAAGGAGCCCAAATTAAAACATCGTTACCTCTACCAACACCCACCTGCCGATACAAAAGATCCAGAAAAACACATACCTCGTCCATCTCCCAATCCTGAAAAGAGCGCCGAAAATGCACATCCCATATAATCCCACTGCTATCAAGCCGATAACAATCAACTACATAGGTATGTTTATCAACAGCAATACTAAATAACCTAGGAAATGTACGAGAAAGAGGCTGATCCCCACACCAGAGATCTTCCCAAAACCGAATGCAACGACCATCACAGATTTTGAATCTGATATGAGCCGAAAAAACATCCCATCCCTTCCGAATAGCCTTCCACATCCCTACTCCTCCCGCCAGGGTAACCGGACATGTAGACCAACCTCCAGCCTCTTCCCCATACCTACAAGAGACTAACCTGCGCCAAGGACGATGTCTTTCCCTCCCAAATCTCCATAACCATTTACCCAGGAAAGCTTGATTAAAAGGAACTAAACATCTTATACCAAGTCCACCCAATTTCACGGGCTTACAAACATCCTCCCATCTGACCAGGTGGTACTTGAACTCATCGCCCTTTCCTCCCCATAGGAAATCCCTTTGAATTTTTTCAATCCTATCTATAACAG